CAAATTGATTGAAGGTATCAGTAGGAGCTGGTGTGAGTGGATTTATTGGAAGTGTAGTTGGTTCTATTCTTCAAAAATTGAAAATAGCATAAATTAATTTATTTAGTATAGTGACTAAAAATTAATTTTCTTAGTATTAGAAAAAGATATTAATGTTGTTATTATTAGTTATTTTTAGTTAGTCCTGATTGTATCTTTCCATTATTATTAATATTAAAATAAATAATATAATTATTAATGAATTCATTGCTACTAATAACATCAAGAGTAGATAATAATTATCATCATCTACTCTTAACTTGGTAACATAAATAGCATCATTAATATAATAAGTAATAGCACCTCCATACTTCTTATAACAAGTATACTGATGATACTTCTCTTCTACAGCAACTCTTCCTTTATATATATCATACAGTCTCACATTGAGGGAGTGATTGCTGATGTATAGTAGTACATGTACTTATTTAATATTCTTTTTATATAACACATTGTATATCATTACATTATGTGGAGTAATGGATTCACTTTTTCTTGATCTTATCATCTTAGAATTTTTATAGTGTGATAGTTTAGCTTAAGTATACAGTAAAAATATATTTAAGCTTAATATTTGATTGTATGTATACAATCACATGTCTCCACTCCTCCTCTTATCCTCTTACAGTTATTTTAATATTTTGTGCACCTGGGTAAGCAGTAGGCAGTGACAAGGATCAGTTCACTCCTCCAGTTATTATAATGGTACCATTATTTGCACACCTGATGAAGTAGTTTTTGTGAGGTCAGTCTGGTCACATGAGACCCATATTCTATAGAGGTGGGCGATACCAGAAATTTTAAATCGATACCGATACCAGAAATTTTGAATCGATACCGATACCAAGTAGTCTGAGTCTCAGTATCGATGGTATTGAGTAGTGAATGAGTAGTCAGCTACTGCACATGCACAAATAAGTTATAATTAGTTATTAATAAAAATGAAGTGACAAAGGTGCCATTTTGTAATTATTAAAGGGTATGGTCATAATTATGACATCAAAAATATGTGTGGTGTGGCATGGTTACTCACTACTCAATACCAGGGATTTGGTATTGAGTACATGGTATCGGAGGCCTGGTGTTGGATATATGAGTACTTTGGTATCGTATTGCCCACCTCTAATATTTTAGAGAGGTAGTTATGGCTAAAGGTGAAAACAGCATAACAATTGTCCCAGGCAATGAGAACATTCAAGACAATGAGAACATTGGAGGGAATCCTACTGAAGATAGTAAAAAAGGTAAAGGAGCTACGTAATAGAGGAACTTGAGGAAGGCCTGTCAATATATTAGTGATTGGTCCAGCTGGTGTTGGTAAATCAGCACTGGTCAATGCTATGTTTGGGGAGGATGTAGTAATTGTTACAACTGAAATTAACACGGAAGTACATGGAGAGTATAAGGGTGTGAAGATGAAGCTTTATATTACCATTGGGTTTAATACTAGAGGCAAAAGTGAAGACAATATTTTTATTAGACATTGCTAAATGTGACAAGTTTGATTTAATCCTCATTTGTGCAAAGTTAGTAGATAGAACTGATCGTGATATGTTCTCAGAACTGGCCTCCGTCTTACATGAAGAAATGTGGAAAAGTGCCATTGTTGTATTAACATTTGCAAACCTCTTCATTAAACTTGAGAGTGTAGTAGATGAACATGAAATGGAAAGGCAGAGAAACGAACACAAAGAGTTTGTTGTTGAATTTCTTTCTGGACGTATTGACAAAGAAGTATTGCTAGGAATACCATTTTGTTTAGCTGGGATAAAATATGAAAGGAAATTGCCTGTGACTAAAGACTGGGTTAAAACACTATGGGAGACATGTATTCAGCGTTATCGTGATGAAACACGCCCATTCTTGACGTTTTATGCTAGGAACCGTTCAACCGTAGCATTATTGAAACAGGGTCTTTTCTTGGTTCTGTTGGTGTTGGTGCTAGTGTTGGTGCTGGTATTGGTTCTATAGTACCTGTTGCTGGCACTGTAATAGGAGCTGGTGTGGGAGGTTTAGTGGGAGCTGGTGTGTTTCTTGTTGGGATTATTATGGGACGTATATTTAAATAAC